GAGGCCCCTCTGTGATCCTGTTCTGTGAAAATAGAGTGAAATGTTATTTTCAGGAAAATGGATAGAACTGAAGATCATCACATAGATCAAAATACGCTAGAGTCAGAAAGACAATATTATGTTTTTTTGTCATATGCAGAATCTAGATGTACATAGATATGTATGTGTATATATATATGACATAAAAGTAGAAAGGTGACTGTGATGAGAAGGGAACAGTCTTAAGGAAGGGGACAGAGGAGAACAAGAGGGGGTGATAGGTGGAAAAAGAAAATATTGCGTGTTTTCATATGCACATCACAGAATTAAATATGTGTGTATATAAAATGTCATGAAAGTCAAAAGCAGACTATTTAGGGGAAGAAAAGGAACGTCAAGAAAGGTGGAGGAAGGCTGGGAGAGGGGACCAGAGTGTATAAAATGTAATAATGAAACCCATTTTGTGTATTACTTTTTGAAATTAATTTTTTAAAATGTCAGTGAAAACAAAAAGCAACTTGACATTGGCACACTCGTCTTCCTGGAGCTCTAGCTCAATGGCACAGTCTTTATTTCAAGTATTTCATTGCCAAGGCCAATCATTCTGCCTCCTACTCTGTGTCTCCCTGTGACCACCCTTTAACATACTTCCTCTAACCTTCTACCAGTCAGAATCTTCATTTTTGGATCTTCAAAACCCATTTGAAGGGTTTCCCCTCAACTTAGGCTATTGGTCATCAAATTGTTTCTTCAGTGCTACAATACATCTTATTTAGAACTTTATTTGTGTCACTTGCTCTGCCATATGCTGTTACACTTGAGCACATGTCTCTCAGGAGTGTAAGCAGTACTAGCAGTCCAAGGAGCAGACTGTGAGCAACAGAAACTCCAAGAGACTAGGAGATGGTGATCAAAATGAATAGAATTTAATCACCCAACCCCTCTACATTTATTTATTGTACAATTATAATCTTTCTCTTAGTCTGTCTTTTTATTGCTATATATTCATTATACATAGTGTTAGGTTTCATGTAGATAATTTCTTTCAAGTATATCATGTAGTTTGACCATATTCACCCCACACATGCATTTTTGTTTTGGTCTTGTTTTTGTTTTTTTAATTGTTTGTTTATGTTTTCCATGGTCTTACTCTGTAGCCCAGGCTACCCTCCTGCCTCGATCTCCCAAATGACGGAAATTACAGGCATGAGCCACCATACACAGCTATTTTACAAATATTTGTGAGCATAAATAAAACAGAAAAAAATCTCTGCTCTTGAGATATTTACATTTTAATGGTAAGATATAGGCAGCAAATTAAAGAAGTAAATGTTATAGGATGTTAGAGGAATAAAAACAATACAGAAAAAAATTTGACTAAAAGCTCAGTCAAAGGGAGGAAACTCAAGTGTGGTATTGTAAGATAACCTAATACACACGGCCGGAGTGGTGATAGATTTTAGAGAAAACCCCCAAACTCTCACATTGCTAATGTGATTTCTTACTCTGTGCAAAATATGTATCCTTGTATTTGGAGACAAATATCCCAGTCACCACTCATCAAAGAACCTCATTTTGCAGCAGTCAGAGACTATTGCCAAGTACCACAACTGGTCATACATGGACATTGTCTGTGAATTTTCCAGGCCTAAGGGACATATCTGCATTGCAACCTTTATACCTAAGGCTCGTGGAACATGAAACAGTGATAAAGAAGAGGACACTGGTGAATCACTTCTCAATAATGAAGCTCCGTCATACAGCAGAGGGCCAGGAGCACAAAAGGTCACAAATGGCCAAAGTGTACAGAGAGAACAAGAATCTACTAAATAATGGTCCTTGGACATGCCCCCTTTATTAAACTTCATCCTCCGAAGGTTCAGGGACCATGGTGGAAGAGGGGGTAGAGAGATTGTAAGAGCCAGGGAGGAGGTGCATGACAGTATGGAAACAGAGTCCTACAAGCTCTTGGGAACCTGCTCATGTGATTCTATGGCAATGGTGTCAGCATACAGAAGTCCCATGCAAACTCATGCAGACAGTAACTCAGCATAGACCTGGGAAAATGAACAGCAGATCCCAATCTTATCTAAAGGAATGTTGGCAACTGATTGCTGCTAGGTGAAGAAAAGCTGATCCTCCTAAAACAAGGGACTCTAGATAAGCTAGACTCTAGACTCAGTGAATGGACTTGCACTGGGGAATGGCTAGGGATACTCACAACACAGTGGGCAGTAACAGGGATGACAGAGTAGGGAGGCTATGGGAGGGTGCCAGTGGGGATGGGGGTATAAAGATGATTAAGATTGTTTGAGATGTTCTTCATGAAATACAAAAGAAAAAATCAATTAAAATGAAACAATACAGAAAAATGAAGCAGGACAAGGAGATAGAGTCATCAGGGATAGAATTCGCCTTTATCCTGGATGACCCAGGAAGGCCCTACTGCAAAGTGCACAAGGGAGCAGACGTGAAGGATGCAGGGCATGGTGACATGCTGAAATTTGGGCAGAGCATTGCCATGGATGGACAGCAAGGAGGGCACGAAACTGTCTTGGAAATGTAGCCAAGAGACCAGTGTGACTAAAGTGGAATGAGTGAGAGGGAGTAAGGTCAGTGGGAGACAAGGGTGAGACAGCATTACTGCTACGGTAACCATGGCTTTATGCTTTCTGGGATGAAGAGCCATGACTTGGGTTACATTTTTAAAGAATCACCTTGATTACTGAGTTTGGGTTAGCTTAAAAAAGTAAGAAGAATAGAAGCAAGGATGCCAATAAGGAGGTGATACCCATGAGCTAAATGAGAGATGTTATAGACTTCAAGTCCTAGGCTGTCCCTTCCTCACAGGCTGCCTGGACCTTGAAGCCCAGATCCTTGACAGCAGGATGAGATGTTTCTAGAGATTCCCCAGGTCCTCAATACAGGTCCAGAGGTTGCTGTGAAAGCTAAACTGAGTCCTCAGCCAGAGAGTATCTCAGGGACAGCCTGGAGGGGAGACATCTTAGTGAGGAACAGCAGAATGAGGCCGTCAAAGTGCGGACATGCTGTCCACTCCTCATGTCCTCCCAGCAGTGCTTGGAATCTCCAGATGAGGCAGCACATGCTGTTCTTTTTAGTTTTGTAGAGGAAGACGCTGCATCAGGGAACAACGTCAGCATAAATCTGGAAAACACTTTAGGGATCCTGACAAGCAGATTATGTCAAAGGAAAGATATAGTGGGGGTAGGGGAGTAAGGATCAGCTGTGAAAATAATCAAACCCAGGGAAATTCCAGAAAAGTCCTGCAAAAATACTTCAAAGCTTAACAGAAATATCTCAATCTCCAGTAAATAAAAATGCTGAGGGCTGGTGCTATGAATCAGTGGTAAATCACTTGCCTAGCTTGTATCAGGACCTGGGTTCCATCCCCAGCACCACAAAAACTACTGAAAAGTCTATACAAACATGACTATTCACAAATCAGCTGGTTAACACATTCCATTAAGTACTAGGTTTTCTTTTTAACCCATGCCAGAACACAGAAAGCATCATAGCTAGATTTTTATCCTAACTACTTTAGAGGAAAAACTTCTAAAACAAAACAAAAAAAAACCTAGTAGCACTTATCTGGGAACAACTATCAGCTGTAAAGGGAAAAGAAACTTTTATTACCTATGCTATTATATTTCTCTCATATTTTTGTTAACAGTGAGCCTACATTTTATTAATTAGCAGTACTAATTTTTAATTTTTATTGTGTGTATGTATAAGCATTGTGTGGGGGAAGGGTGGCATGCATGCCATGGCACAATATGTTGAGGTCAGATCACAGCTTTGTGGAATTCATTCTTTCCTTCCACCTTTTTGTGGTTTCTAAGGGTTGAACTCAAGTAATCAGGGTTGTGTAGCAAGCATCTTAACCCACTCAGTCATCTCACTGGCCCACAGTATCATTTTTTACTTTTAATTTATTTTGGTATTTGTTTGGGGGGTGGCTAGCACAGGTTGCTAGGATTGACAGCAAGTACCTTCACCCACTGAGCCACCTCTCTGACCCCACAGTATCGATTTTGAGGCATTCAAAAAAATCAATGAAGACATGTACAAAAAAGACAATGTATCAAGAAGCAAGCTATTAACTCGAAGTAGCCCTTGGATAAATATTTTTGAAAAATATAGAGATGTAATAACTAAACCCTTATGTGTATTACCATATGTGTTTATAAATTAGTTGTAGAAAAGGATTTTATCCATTTTTTGTTGTTTGGTTTTTTCAGACAAGGTCTCATGTAGCTCAAGCTAGCCTAGAATTCTCTATATAAATAGCTAAAGATTACTTTGAGTCCTTGATCCTCCTGCCTCTACTGAAATACTAGGATTATAGACATGTGCCACAATGCCTTGCCAATTTCTTTATAGCATTATCAGCAGAGCCTGTCTTCTTATTTAAGAAGAATAAACAAAAAAGTCTCCAAGAAAGACTCTAAAAAGCAAGTAGATTTTCATTGTCCATATATTATTAGGGAGAAGGGAATGTAGCTAGTGATATGCAGTAAGTTAAGGACAACCTTGGTCATAAAGGAGCCAAACAGCTTCCTGCCACTTGCTGACTGTTATCTCTCACACACATCTCTGAGGTTGTGAGTCTGCTTAAAGAGCTTAAAAAAAAAAAGGAAATGAGCTCTTGGCCTTATTATTGTATTCTGACAAGGTGACAGAAACAGCACAAAGCGCTGCACTGTGTGCCATGGGCCAGAATCAGTTGACAGAAAGGCACATAGTATAGCTAAGGTGGAACAGTTGTCTGAGTTTTGAATTCCTTTGTTTTTTTAAAGCTTCTGTTGCTTTCATGTGATCCAAAAAACGACTTTGTTTCAACAGATCTAATTTCCCTAGTTCTGTTCTCGTCTTATTTTTGCATACATATACAAGTGTAAACTGTTTTTATTACCTAATTAAAACAAAAGCATTTTCAATAAGAATACCATGAAAGTACAAGTATCACATTTTTAAAAAAGACTTTTAAAAGCTTCACTTACCACTGGGTTTAATTTCTCGGACATAATTACTAGGGAACCAGCCTGTTCTGCCATTTAATGTGCCTTCCCACCAGCCTCCTTCTTCAACCCGAGTGACATAAATGATGTCCCCTTTACAGACTGACAATTCATCTTCATTAGTCTGCTTGAAGTTGAATCTTGCCTTTACTATCAACTGGTGACTTCCATTTTCCGTCATCTCCTAAAGAAACAAAGCCACACCAGATTAAGTGCCCATCTAAGTGAGGCACGGGTAGAAATTATGTGGATCTACGCAAATAAAGTGGGCTGAATAAGAGTACGCCTCTGCCCCATCTCAGTTATTATTTATTTATTTGATCATTTGTATTTTTTGAGACAGACTCTTACATTAGCTCAGACTGGCCTGGAACTCACAATGTAACCCAGGCAGACCTCGAACTGTCAGCAATCCCCCTGCCTCTCATGCTCCCAAGTGTTGGGATTACATGTACGGGATCCCATGCCTAATCTATTTCTCAGTTTTGTTTTTTTTTGAGAATTTCATATACGAGTACCATATTTACATCATGTCCATCCCTCCCACTCCCTGCTCCAACTCCTCCCATGTTCACCCCACTTTTCAATTTCTAGACCACACACACACACACACACACACACACACACACACACAAATGCATGGAGTCCATTTAATGGTGCTTTTGTGTACATGTGAAGGAGCTTATCCCTGAGAAACTTAGAAGCTAATTATTAATAGACTTCTGTAAGGATTAATGGCCCTTTCAAATTTATAAGCAAATGTATGCAGGGTCTTCAGGACAGTTAGGTGATTAAAAGTGCTTCCAGTTCAAGCCTGATGACCTGCAATTGATGCCTGGAACTTGTGACAGAAGAAGAGAACCAACTCCAAAAAAGTTGTTCCCTGACCGCCATACCTCCACATGCACCTGCACACACACACACACACACACACACACACACACACACACACACATACAAATAAATAAAAATTTGAACTGTAAACATTTCTAAACTGTAAAAAAAGTTTGCATTTGTCAGGATGTGCATGTTTGTATGCAGTTACAGAATTCATTTCTCTCTTCCTTCACCAGTTTTTTAAGATGTCACTTAACTAAACCAGGTAACCAAGTAAACTAATAAACCATTCCATCCTGCCTCTATCCAATAGAAAACTTAGTCCAAATATTAGCTATTAACTTACTCTCACAAAAATCTCTCCCATCTCTCAGTCACTAATGTATCCAAATTTGGCTAAGACTTAAGTCATAAGCAAAGATGAAATATCCCAGTTAGTCTGGGCACATGTGGATACATGCCTGTAATCCTAGCATGTGGGATCCAGAGGGAAGAGGATCTGGAGTTCAGGATTATCTTCAACTACATATATCAACTGTAACACTAACCCTGAGCTACAGAAGACTCTGAAAAAAACCTCAGAATCATGTATATATCAGCTCTTAATCTGCCTTGTATGGATTGAGCTTAACTTTTGAGGGTCACAAACCCTTCTGAGAATCTGATAAGTTGAATGGATCTTTACAGAGATGAGTTTATTCACACAAGTTTTTGTATGCAGTTTAAGAGGAGGCAAGGAATATGGTACCATCAGATTTATCAGATTCTCAAAGGGATGGGTTGGGTGGGGGCTATTGTTTGGTTGGTAGAGTGCTTGTCTAGCATGCACAGGATTCTGGGTTCAGTCCTCAGCCCTGCATAAACCAGGTGTGATTGCACACACGTGTAATCCTAGCACTAAGGAGGCAGAGGCACGAAGATCAGAAATTCAAAGTCATTTTCTGAAACAAAGTGAGTCTGAAGCCAGGCTGGCTTATGTGAGATCCTGTCTCGAAAGAATGAGGAGGGGTGATCTCAGAGAGGATAAGAAACACCCATTTAGATGCTTTGGAAACAACAGGCTATGATGCCCTACAGTAAGCAAGTGGCTTTTGACAAGAAAGAGCAGGATATAGGATATTTCTTCCCACATAAAACCTAGTAAGACCAAATGCAAAGACAACTGGGAAATGCCAATACAGAGATTTAATGTGGGCTGATATTTAAAAGTGGGTCTGTTTTGGGGACAAGGCCTCACTATGTATCCTAACTGACTTTGAATGCACTGTGTAATCCAGGCTGACCTCAAACTACTGATCCTCCTGCCTTAGCCTCTAGAGGGCTGGCACTACAGGTTTGTGTCACCACACCCAGCTAAAATTTCTTGCTCAATAGGAATTCATAGAAAAAAATAAAGATGCCAATAACGACCAGAACAATAATGAATTTGGTTGATTGCCTACAAGTACCAGGTACAATTTCATCCTAATAAGCTGAGGAGTAAGGAGAACAGCAGCATAGTACCATCTGGAGTCATAATGACCGACGTTTACATTGTATTCCCAGGTAAGTGACTTATTGTAGTATAGTAAGCAACAAAGCGGGGGCTTCCACCCTGGTTTTCAGATCCTGGGCCCACATGCCTCATTTATCCCACCATTCTAGTCAGAACTGGTACTCATTTCATACCTCATTACTTGGTGATACCAGAAACAAACAAAGTAGTTGTCATCAAGTATGGAAGTGAAACTGGGATTGTTGGGGGACCCTGCTGCTAAGGTTGTAGTACTCCATGTCCAGATAGCTCTAAGGGGCTCGGCGCTATATGGAAGGACTCCCTTTCTCAACAGGGGCCTCCTGCTCTCTGCCTGACTTACCTGGAAAGTGCCACCAAGCACGGATGCCTGACCTTATTTGGAACATGACCTTTGGCATAGTTACCTGCAATAAAACTACCCCTAGGTTTTTTTCTATATGATAATTAGGCATTGCCCTATAGTCGGATGATAGGATCCCCCTACCACATGTAAATAAAGCATACTATGAGCACCTATCAGCTGAAGCTTTGGCTGCTGCCTCCACACTATATTTTCCCTGACTCCCACTGAATAAACGGAGCTGTATCACTGAATCTGACTCCCCGGAAAGTCTTTTCCATCATGCTCATTGGCCATCCTGAACCCGTTCGTCGCTTCTGCTCCCTTTGTCCTCGTGGACCAGTGGCCAACGGCCCTTGAGGGGAAGGAGAGACCCACACTGGGATGATGATTTGATTTGATGGATCTTAAAACAAAAGGAGGACTGGGGACTCTACTTACCACTGCCTTTGACTGGCTTTGAAGCCCTGCAGCTGTGCTAGAAACAGCTCCCTGTGGGTTTGTCTGGGAACTATTAGCAGTGCTAAGAGAAGAGGACCGTCCACATGGTCTTTCTGATAGCTGATCTGTAAAAAGAAGAAAAGACATGGTAAAGAACCCCTCATGAACAAAAACCACCTACAACATGAGATCTTTCATGAGACATTATCAAAGTCATCCTAGCTGCAATTAAAACTGTTATCACTCTGAACCCGCCATGCATTTCAGTCTTCCCGTCCCATTTTTAGGGGTGGCCAACTTTTTCCTTCTTAACCTTACTGGCCACTGCTGTCCAATATAATGAAAAACAGCGACAGAACCACATTTTCTCTTAACCCATTTGCCTACAGGTCTTTCCTCCTGAACCAGTTGCCACAGTATGCCCTGTTTTCCAATGCAGAACTATATCGGGTACCAAACAGCTGTTTGCAGATCTTATTACTTTTGAATATTTCAAATTTCTCTCTGTTTGTTTCCCCATAACTCAATGGTTCTTTTCATACATGTAACAATATGCATGGCACATATAATGTAGTCTCCCTGGTGTATTGGGGGGGGGAGAATGAGAGAGAGGGTGTGTCTGAGACAGATACAATCTTGACACTAGAGTAATTTTTTAATCAAACATAGAACTATTCTCTTGCTTGATTCCTTGTGAAATTTGATCAGACTGGAGCTGAGCTGGATGTTTTGAGTATGCTGAGAGTGTATTAAAGAGAGAAGTTGGCTTCTTGACAAATTCAAATGAGACTTCTTTTCCTCTCCATTTATTTTTAAAAGATATAAACTGCAAAAGTCTAAACCCCAAACATTCCCTACGCGACAAGCTCAGTATCCAAGTAATTTCCTTGATGCTGTGGGTTTTAACTTTCACCTCCTTGTATTTTTATAAATATCTGTGGTAAGGGAAGAGACTGTAAAACTTGCTAGAAGAGTTTGGCAAGGGAACATATAATTTGTGTGGCATAATGTTAGAATTATACGATCCTCTCTGCCCAGAACTGGATAGTTGTCATGTGTGTTAAATATAGTTACTTGAATTAGCTGTACTCTCTGCAATATGCCTTGCAATAGCTCAAAAGTATTTTTTTCTAAATAGCAAAAGAACAACTTTGGAGAAGTATTTTTACATGCCTTGCTATTATATACAGCTCTTTCGGGTAAAACTATAATTACTTGATCATTTCCTAGATGCTCCATTCTACTTGGCACTTGATTACATTGTCTGCTCTTGTTTTCTAATTGTTTCACATGGGTAAGTTGAGTCTCCTTAAATAGATGGTAATTTTCTCAAGGGGATGATAGCTTTTAATTCCTTCGTACCACCTGGCAGTGCTGGGCATACAGCCTCTTGTCTCTTGAATCACTGAGCAGTAGTAGGATTCATGTTTGAGCATAAGGGCTCTGGAGTCAGTGCTGTGTGGGTTTGAAGGTTTGAATCCTGGCTCAGTCATTTATCTCCTAGTTGGGTAACTGTGGGCCTGGCATTCTTTCTTTTTTTTTAAGTCAAGGTCTCCCGTAGACCCAGTTGGCCAGGAACTCACTATGTAGACCAAGCTGGCCTCTATCTCACAGGCATCTGCCTGCCTCTGCCTCCTGAGTGCTGGGATTAAAGGCATGTGCCACCACACCCAGTGTGTATTCTTTATCTATAATGTGGACTTCATCATCATCATCATCATGTCCACCCCCACTGTTATTTCAAAGACTGAATGAAACCACTTGGGGCCTAGACCCAGGAAAAAGACTTAAAGCATTTGAACTCTGATTTTTACTATCACTGTGGTTGAGCTGTGACATCAGAAAAAATGGATGGATTTTACTCTAAGTTCATTATTTTCTTCTTCACCAGGATTTATACTCAATAGCTTTCGGTATAGGGGATAAAAGATATTTAAATAACTTACTATCCATTCACTATGAATCTGTTTCACTCATAGTGCAAAGTTACTGAGGAATTCCTTTTCATAGACAAAGACATATGGAAAACTGTAAGAAAAATATCTCTGGTGGGGAAAGGGAAGTGATGAAGATGTTTTGTAAACTTTACTTTTTAAAAAAGGGAACTGGTCTTTCCCTTTTTAATTTCTGTCTTGTTATACTCAATTGGTAATTCAAAAGCTTGGAATGAAATCACTTTGTGTTCTTATTTTGTTAATGATATAATAACTGTGATAAGTGGGCTTGAATCCTAAGTATGTATCTTTTTTTCCTTATTTGTTATTTTCTGTGTATGCTTAAGTTATGAAGTTATATGATGTTATGCTATGAATAAGTTAAAGTTGTGAGAAATTCGCTGGGCATGGTGGTGCACGCCTTTAATCCCAGCACTTGGGAAGCAGAGGCAGGCAGATCTTTGTGAGTTCAAGGCCACCCTGGTCTACATAGTGAGTTCTAGGACGACTGGGGCTTATAGGGAGACAGTGTCTCAAAAAGACAAAACAAACAAACAAACCCAAAACATTAAATTTATGAGAAATTAAAATATTTAACACTTGTTTGGATTTATTGGGGGGAAGGGAAGAAATTTGTACCAATTGAACAATTATAGCCTTAGTTGGCTTCTAAAAACATATGGATTCAAAAACGCCCCCAAACTCATAAATCACAAGCATGCCTTACCTTCTGTTGCTTTATTAACAGCTAAAAGAGTACTCAGAACCTTGGAGAAATTGACCCCTGAATAAAGGTCATCAGGATCAAATACCTATCAGAAAGGAAAATTGAGAGCATAAGACACTGAAAGTAATCAACTCAATAAACAAAACTGTGAAAAGGCCACTTCCGCCAGCTCGCAGGAAAAAAAAAATGCACAAGCCAAGATGCAAAGCTCTGCATACCTTCAGGAGAAATAAGAACGGCAGCTGAGCTGCCTAATGACATGTGGTGGCATCAGTGAGTCAGAACAAGGCAGTAGAGGGAAATGAGGGGCAAGCTGAAGGCAGCACCCACCAGGAAACCTGCAGCGCACATTCAGATCCACTCTTCTGATCTGAACCTATCAAGATCCGCAGCCGTTACAGGAAGCGCTTACACATGGGCTATGGTTACTGCCTGCCACCTTCAGAATGTCCTGAGAAGTCTACAAATAAACAGCTTTCCACCCTGCTTCTTATTTGCTGTATTCATTAGTGACACTGTCACAAGAACCCGTCTCTCCTCCCTTTCCTCCCGAATGCTGTCCAATTGCTCAGGATCCCATCTCTGTGTTGCACAACTTTCTGTCTAGATCTGCCTTTTGCTCTCAACCTCAGTTCCTGCTGATTGATCTTGCCCTTCTCAGATCATTTTTGAACTGTGAGGATTTGGCTTTTTGTCAGTTGAGTTTATAGGTTCTTCCTGGCCTTAAATAACTTTTCCAGGTATGACCTCTGGCTTTCCTGACGTTACTTTAAGGCAATACAAAATTCCATTGTGGCGAGGCATGGTAGCTCATGCCTATAGTCTCAGCATTCAGGAAGCTGAGACAGGAGGACTGCCAGGAATCTGAGCCAGCCTGAGCTACAGAGTTCCAGATCAGCCAGGGCTAGAGTGAGACTCTGCCTCAAAGAAATGGGAAAAAAAATATTACTTTGCCAGTCTTAGTTACCATTCTGATAGGCTACTGTTCCTGACTTGTTGTTTTATCTTTTATCTATTTATTTATTAGGGGTGGGTATGAACACATGCCACAGTGGGCACATCAAGGACTGAGGACAACTTTAGGGAATTGGTTCTCTGTGGGTCCCAGGGATCAAATTCAAGTTGTGAAGCCTGGCAATGAGTGCCATTACTTGCTGAGCCGTCTCTCCAGCCCTGCTGTGGTTTTAAATGCAATATAAAATGTTGTCTTTTAAAATATAGTCTATGTATTAAGATGTATTGAGACTTCTAAAATATACTCTCAAATATGTATATTTGAGGTTAATATTCTCAAGAACTGACACGATCTATAAAGTAGTTAGTCAACTGTGGAGATAAAAGCCAGGCATGGTGACCCACATCTGTAATCCTGGCACTCAGAAAGCTGAAGCAGAATGATCACCAAAAGTTCAAGACCAACGTGATCTAGACAGCAAGCTCCAGAGTTATATAACAAGATCCTGTTTTAAAGATTCAGCAGATATTCATATCTATCATGCACACATGTGTGCATGCATGCCATGCACACACATATACAATCACACTGAGTGAATGGCTGACTGACTGACTGACTGAATGAATGAATGAATGAATGAAATAAAGTTACCAAATGGCCACCTTCTGGATAGAAATGCTCCTTCAGAAAAGACTTCTTCCAGAAAGAAAGCAAACAACGCATTACTTTTCTTCAAATGGGGTGATGGGAGTAAAATGTACCTTTTCACATGGGAAATCATTAATACTGAAGCATCTGTCTTCCCATTAGCATCTTTCATCAATATTTAATACACATAGTTACATAATCAAGACAAATCTTTATCTCATTTTTGTATACATTCTTTCTTTTTTGAGGCAGAGTCTCACTCTTTAGACTAGTCTAGTCACTATGTATCCCAGGCTGGCTCTGAACCCAGAACAATCCTTCTGCCTCATCTTCATCTTCCTGAATGCAAGGATTATATGTGTGAGCCACCACACCCAACTTTGTATAGGTTCTTGAAGACTCAAATTTTATTTCTAGAATTAAAGTATATACAATCCATTTATCTTCAAATGTGAAGGTCCATATACATATATGCTAATGTGACCTACGCAAGTCTACCTGTTCTGGGAGTCACAGCTTTATTATTCACCTAATACACAGACTTAAAGTTAAATGACTGAAGGAGCCCAACTGCATCTAAAACATGAGATACTAGGTTGCTGAGATGGTTTAATGGGTAAATCTCTTGCTGATAAGCTTGATGACCTGAGTTTGATCCCCAAAATTCACATGGTGGAAGTAAAGAGTCACTTCCCGAAAGTTGTCCAACCTCGACAACCACACCATGAAACAGGCCTACCCATACAGACAGACAGACAGACACAGACACAGACACACAGACACACAGACACACACACACACCACAATAATAAATAAGTAAAATAAGACACACTGATACACTTTTAGTACAAGGGCAGCATTAACATTATTGGAGTTAACTTATACCACATTCCAAATATGTAAAGTGCAACGTTTTCTAGGAATGAACTGACTGGAGTCCTCTTTCAGTTCGTCAAAGCCTAGGTGAACAAAATGCAGTACCCTATGTCATGAGCATCCACAACCCCAGAGGAATTCAGATTTGCTGAATCTCCCTTAGAACCGATCCAGTAGGATAATGTTCATGGTATCTGTGCCAAAATGATCACAAGGCAAATCAATTCCCTTGGTTTTTTTCTTCTTAAATTTGTTCCTTTTATACTTTCGTATAACCACCCACCACAAAGCCCCTTTCCTACATTCATTGTGTTTTTGCTCTGCTTTCTAACCCACTGAGTCTAACCTGGACTGTTTGTGAAATTCACTGGTATTTAATTCCTGGTGGGAGTATGCATACATGTGTGCCTATGGATTTGTGCACTGGGTGGGTCTGGAGGAGGTGGGTAGATTCTAAAACAAGAAACAGAAGTATATGTTAGAATAAGACATGAGAGCAAGGCTGGGCATGGTAGCACACGCCTTTAGTCCCAGCACTGGGGATGCAGAAGCAGGCGGATCTCTGGGGCTACTTGGAAGATCCTGCCACAAAAAGACCAAAAAAATGAAAAATAAAAAGACAATGAGAGCAAAAAGTTGAGAGAGAACCCTCCCCCCTCGTTTTAGTTGCTTATTCTTTACCCAGGTTGACTGCAAATGGCAATGTTGGAATGATTAAATTATCCTGGAATTTGAATTTTCAAATAAATGAATTGCTCATAAAATGAAATGAGCATCAACAAAAGTCACTGCTTGTGCATGAGGAAGTGGCCTTGACTTCCTGCACCCAGTTCCCTTTTGAGAAAACTCAAATACACTCAAGTTTGTACACAGATACTGTTCTCACTGCTCGCCTGTTCTTAGCAGGACCTATACAGGAAGGAGCTACTAGGGGCCCCTGGGGACTGGCAGAAAAGGTGGGCAATGCACATGGATTATTACTTCAGAGCATTTGGAGAACCAGATACAACTACAAAAGTACTGTACCACAGCATATATTCCTAAGTTTCAAATACAACTTATTTTTGATGTAGGGTTTCATGTAGCCCAGGCTGGCTTTGAACATGTTCTGTAGCCAAGGATGACCTTGAACTTCTGATCCTCCTGCCTCCATTTCTCCAGTGCTGAGATCACAGGTATACACCACCATGCCCAGTCCATACAGTACTGAGGATCAAATGCAGGACTTTGTGCATTCTAGGCAAGTACTCTACCAACTGAACTACATTCTCAGCCTCTCCAAATTCAATAATCATAGTTCTACTTCATATCTTTCTTCTATGAACTTGAGATGTATCACTTACAGAAAAGGAAAAATTTAGAGAGAAGGACATGGTTTTCAGTCAGTGTCAGTCATTTATATCATACCACAAATGAGCAATTTGAGAGTAAGTCTAGAGATGATAAGGATTTCAGAAAGACCAAAAGTGCACTGGCACCCAACTGGGAAAAAGTGAGGGAGCATCCCTCAAGGTGCAGAGGGATGAAGAAAAGAAGGAAAGCTGGCGTACAGTACAAGCCCTACTTGAGTAGGACTAACATGACTTTTTGTTGTTGATTTTTGGTTTCATTTTCTTTTGTTTTGTTTTTTGAGACAGTCTTGCTATGTAGCTCTGGCTGGCCTGGAACATACTACGCAGATCAAGTTGTCCTTGAACTTCCAGCAATCCTCCTGCCTCTGTCTCTGAATCTTTAGTGTTAGTGTTTACCAGCATGACACACAGTTCTAATGTCCCTTATTTATGCATACAAAACAGAGAACCAATTCCTCTTTCTGTTTGCAAACCCTAGGACTCATTGAAAGGTAAAATAAATTTGCACATTTATTCTGTATGTAATTTTTACAAGTGCTTTTCAAAGTCAAATCATGGCAACGTCATGGTGACATCATCTTCTAGGTCTCTGGGCAAGCCATTCTAGAATGTTTAGTGTCTGGTGTATGACTGAGCCTCAAATTAGTTGAACTTCCTTTATACTTATTTGGGCCAGAAATAAGCCAGTTAGTTCCAGTTGTATCCCTGAATGTCAGATAAACAGTAAGACCCCACCCTTCATTTGTTTTGCCACTACTGTGACTCAAAGAAAAAAGTACTTCTTAGATTACTGATAGATGGTTTCAAGGCACCACACCAGCAACCAGATTAATGAGGCTCAAGTTTAAAGAAACAAAACCAGCAATAGAAAAGGCAGGAATGAAACCTTATTAAAGACTCTTTTTTAAAGTATTCACGTAAAACCCGTCTGAGGTCCACTCCAACATTAGCAGATGAAATGAGACAAGACATTTAGTTTTTAAATGTTTCCCCACATTTTTCCATTCTGGATATCCACAAGGACAGCAAAACCTATTTTCCATCCTCTAAACACCAGGTGTGAAATCTTGGGGATCTGCCAGTATAAATTACACAGAAGTTAATATTTTTATGACTTCACAAATAGATCCTTTTGGATTAGCTCTCAGTTTCAACATGTATGCTATTTTATGGCACTTCCTGAAACCCTAAATTGACAAGGCAAAGAAGCACATGACAAGAAATTACCCCAATCCTCTGTTCCATTCTCTGTTC